TTGGCACAGCTATTCATGAAACATGAAAATATTCAAACCAGAGTAGTAGAGAAGCCCAAGGCTAATTCTTGCATTAGCCTAAAACTGAGGTTGTATGGTATGAGGTTCATTTGGCTCTAGGGGAGAGGCCTGATTTTTAATTATCTAGCTTGTCCAAAGAAAGGTAATTAAGTTCTCCTGCATTAGGTCAGTGTTTGGATGTAAGTTGGTTTCAACAGTATGAATTTCCCTCATAGGCCTGTTTGAAGTCCGGGCCTTTCAGTACTTGGAAGCAATTCCAGAGTCTGAACCCAGTGGGGTGAACAAGATTCTTCGAAGTCTTGGTGAGTTATTTTTTTTTCTTCAGACTCTTGCTCTACCTTACAAACTAAAAGATGAGTATAGAAGGGACCTAGCACAGAATAGGAATTCTTGCTTCTAGAGGAATCTTAGCTCAGTCTCCAGATCTAAACAATATTATTTTCAGATTCCAAGTTGCTTATAGTCAATTCTTAATTATCTCCGTCTATGGAATAACATACATGGAACTGACAAACCAAAATACCAAACCACTCCTATCCCTTCCCCCCTAAAAATAATTTTTATTTGGCTTTGGAATATATGTCCCTCTGTACTAATTAGATGTACTTTAAGTCACTGAACTTCTTTGGGTCTTGGTTTCCTTTATAAAACAAGAGAACACACTAGATAAACTAAAGAGGTCAAAGAGCTTAGCATAGTGCCTGGCATATAGTAGGCACTATAAATGCTTGTTCCCTTCCCCCTTCCCTTCTAAAGTAGGGGTTGTTAACCTTTTTTGTCATGGATACCTTTGGTAATCTGGTGAAACCTACGGACCCCTTTTCAGAATGTTTTTAAATGCATAAAATTACAAAAGAAAACAATTATGTATAGCTTTTTACAAAAAAAAGTTATCTAAATATTTGGAAAAATAATTTCACTGACCCAGGTTAAGAATCCTTGAATTTACAAGGATCTTTCAGGTCTAAAATGCTGATTCTGTGCTTTAGTTGGGTAAATATTGGAATTTGTGTTCTAAGAATACAGATCAACTGACAGACACAGACAGGTTTACCTCTGGACTTGGCAGAACTGAGTAACAGTGAATAAAATATTAGCCTTATAATGTATAGTGAATATAAATGAGTGATTTAAGAGTATGCTGTGCTTACTTTCTCCCTTTAGGAAATAAAATGAAGTTTCTGCAGAAGAAATGAAAACCTGAGTTTCTATACCTAAAATGGAACAGGAAATGCTATCCAGGTCCAGGTGCCAGGATGTACTGACTAGGATTCTATAGAATCCTTGGAAAAGCTTAAAAGATTCAAGGAAGCAGTCAGTCTAAGGATTTTACCCAGATACTGGCTTAGGAATCTGCATAATTGTTGAGGGCAGTCTGAAACCTATGTAGTCTTCATTTCATATCCAATTTTTTTGGAAAGAAAACAGTTCTGCTTCTTAATATTTAGGCTCATTCTCTGGTGCTTGGACTATAGGGAATTTGTTTTTCTCAAGAAAGTCTTGTTAACGTTCAGTTAAAATGAACACATTAGGTGAGCATGAGACTCATACTAAATTTTAGGGTAAGTGGGAAAGGTGGGAAAATGTCCTTAACTGATCTATGGCAGCTTTGCTATGTTGGGATGATTGGCCCAAGCTAAATATTATCTTCATGTTTTTTCCTGATGTTCTTTTTTTTGTGGGACCCCACTCCAATGGGTAAAGTCCTACTTTTCGACACTTTTTACTTATAGGATAGGCATCTTGCAGTCCATTCCTCCAGACACATGGGTATTCAGTCCCATGAGATTATGGTTATTAGAGATGTTTCCTATCAAACTAAAATGAACCAGTGCCACTTTCTAGCCGTCAGGACAAGGGACTCTGTACCCAGCAGAATGACACAAAATTTGGGCTTCTCCTTAAACCTTGTGTTTTTTGCTATAGAAGAGCTGAACCTCATGAGAATGTAACCTCATTCTAGGGTCATACCACTGACCTACCTGGACCCTTGGTACCCAAAGCAGTGCTAGTCTTTGGATAGAGAGACTGATCAGTGGCATTTAGTAACACTATGTTTAATTTTCAGACTCTGGAATCTCCATCCAATATGGATGTATTTAACCGGCACAAACATATTTATTCAAACTTAACAAAATCTTAGTCTGTTAGAATAAATTTTATTGCTATTCTCACAAGCAATGAGCTTGTGTTGGTTATTTTGTTCTGTTTTTCTGGCAAATTAGGATCTGCCTTCACAGCCTAACCAGGTACTTCTACCTGTATAAAACACTCAACGGCTGATGCTGTGTAACGTTAACTCCTATAATCTGGGCCTAGAGAGAAGCCCTATTATCTGCTTTGAAGCATACAGTAAGTATCCCATCCCAACAGGGCCCCTGTTAGACTGAACATCTGTCTAGTTGTTCCCTTCTAGAACTTCGCCCCTCTCTATTCCCAAAGGAATCTCTGATGGGAAAATGGAGTATTGATAAAATGGTGGGTGTGAGGGCGGGGGAAGAAATAAACTAAGCTAAATAGAGCAGGCTGGGGCCTGTTGGTCCCTCTGTGAGGAGACCCCCTGCCTCAGGGATGGGGTCCAACTTTACGCCTATAAACTGAGGATGATTCCTTGGACTGTTGTATTGTATTTTTGTAAAGTACTATGGATCGTGGGTACGTCTGTGACAGCAGAATTGCTCAAGATTTGTATAAAAAGTTGTTTACAGATTTTATAATGTTTCAAAGAATAAAAACATTTAAAAGGTCAGATTTTTTTTCTTTGAATGGAATAAAAGTCACATGCTGTTGCAAAGTGTTTTACTTTATTCAAATACAAAGTACTTGTGCCAAGGAATGTCTGAAGCCTGACTTTTAAGATCATAGCTAGGGGCAGCTAGGTGGCACAGTGGATAGAGCTCTGGCCTTGAAATCAGGAGGACCTGAGTTCAAATCCTGCCTCAGACACATAACACTAGCTATGTGACTCTGGGCAAGTCACTTAATCCCAATTGCCTCACCACCCCCCCAAAAAAAAAAAAAAAAATAGGGGCAGCTAGGTGGCTCAGTGAATAGAGCACGGGCCCTGAAGTCAGGACAACCTGAGTTCAAATCTGGCCTCAGCCCAAATACTTGACACTTACTAGCTGCGTGACCCTGGGCAAGTCACTTAACTCCAACTGCCTAAAAATTAAAAAAAAAAAAGAAAAGATCATAGCTTCTGGAGTGGAAAAAAACCTGAGTTTGGTTAGTCTAATTTCCTCATTCTACAAATGAGGAAATTGAGGTTTAAACACATAGGTAGAACTAAAAGGCAAAGTTTAAACCCAGGATCTCTTGTTTCAAGCCCAGCATTCTTTCCACTGTATCACTTGTTTCAAGCCCAGCCTCCTGCACTGTGTGTATCCTTCCTTCAAATATCTTTCTTGCCTTACATAAGAACTCTATGTTGCACTGCCCTCTTCTCACCTGGAGCCCAGAACCATGCTCTGCACAGTTGGCACAATGTTGAATGAATACCCTTTCAAACGTTGTGTGGTAGAAAGGGAACTGGATCTGAAGGCACAAGATCTGGCTATGGGTTTGACTTTTTTGGCTCTGCCACTTACAGTGGGAGGAAAATTCTCAGCCTGTGTTTCTTGAGTGCCCAGGGGGCATGTCACCCACTAGAAGGTCTAAAAGACAGGAGGTCAGAGTAGTCAAACTATGAAAGTACGAATGGATGTTCTCTATAGGAATTGCTCGATGCAGTATTTGTAGAGTCCTTTGAACCTAAAGGGAGCTGTGCACAACATGGCTTTGCATATTCAGCTTGGTTGAGTCTTGTTTTGTTGAGTGGGGAGGAAGTACGTAATTCCTGGTTTTATTATTTAATCTGAGGCAGAATGGGGTCAGAATTCTATCAAACTGATAACAAGATTACTTTTTTCCTTCAACATAACATGCTTAACCATAGAAGTCTTTCAATTCCAAAGAATTCCAGAAAAAAAAATGCTATCTACATCCAGAGAACTGATGCACTGAGTGCAGACAAAAGCATACTTTCTTATTTTTACTTTTTTCTTTGCAACATGGCAACATGGAAATGTTTTGCATGATTTCACATGTATAATTGGCATAGTATTGTTTGCTTCTTAATGGCTGGGTGAGGGACTGGGGAGAGAGGGAACTGGCAACTCAAAATTTTTAAAAATGATGTTAAAAATCTACAAACAACTGCCATACCCCATTTATGTTACACGTTTCCTCTGCAACTTCATGTGGCCACGAGGAGCCAAGTCCCTTTAAGCTACAACTAAGCCCTGAAGGTAGGGTCTCTCTCCCTACCCCCACCCCCTCATCCTGCCAAGGCACCTCTACAGGGGATGGAAATGCCCGGAAGCAGAAACGCGGGCTCCGCGAAGCGAGACTAAATTCCACTTTGTGTCTGATCGTTTTGTCCTGATACGAATCTAACGGGGCTCCCCGCTAGGTGGCCCAGCTCTTTGGGGCTGCGACCATAGAAAGAATTTGCTACAAACCTGCTGCCCCCGCAGTCATTTTATCAGGTGCTGGGGAAGACTGGGGGGAAGGAAAAAAATAGGTACCTAGAGGGAAAAGGAATAAAGACTCAGCTGAGGCGGCTTTGACCTCTGACCCCCCGGATTCCCGCTTCTCGCGGAGCATGCTGGGAAGAGAGCTAAAATTCTAGCACCTCACCTAGACGTAGGGTCACGTGGTTCGAAGTCGCAGAAGGGGCGGGGCTTCCTTTTTACGTCTCCGATTTGCTGTCTGTGGAGACGTTGCATCAAAGTGATCTGGAGAATTCATATAATCTCCCTCACACGAGCCTGGGCAAGTCGGGCCGAAAAAAGGGGGGTGAGGGGGGTGGGAAGGAGAAATTCCTGGCAAAAGGTCAACCCTAGTTGTTCAGCAACTGCATCTGAGCACGCGCGAGGAAGCTGCGCACGCGCACGATCGGCGAATCCCTCGGCGCGCAGACGCAGGCGCCAACGGCTCGCCGCGGAGGCGTGTGCCGCGAGAGGCTGAGGAAGCGGGATGGCGGGTACCGGGCTCGTGGCTGGCGAGGCGGTGGTGGACGCCCTGCCGTACTTCGATCAGGGTTACGAAGCACCTGGCGTGCGGGAGGCGGTGAGTACGGGACGGCCGTCCAACCTTCCCTGCGAACCCCCTCTTCGTTCCCTCACATTTACAAAGTCCTGTAGGCTCCGCCTCACGACCGTTCCCGCCCGCCCCCTTCCTCCCTCCCCTCGCTTCAGCTTCCAGGCGGGCGAGGCCTGCCCCACCTCTGCTTCCCCCGCCCCTGCTCACCTCGCCCCGCCCTCGCTCCCAGTCCGCCCCTCCCCTCGGGCACCTTCCCCGCCCCGCCCTCTCACGCCCCCGGAACTTTATTATTGGCTACGTGGAAGGGTTGGAGCTCTGAAAGCCTCTTCCGGCTCCGAATCTGGTCGCGTTACTTCTCTCCTCGCAAATGTGCGGGATGCGCTTGAAATCTGCAGCGCCGACGCCCTTGCTGTTCTCTCCCTAGACACTCCGTGCATTTTTACGGGCTGTCTCCGCGCTTGTAATTTAGTCTTCATCTCCATCTCTTGGCTTCTCCTGCTTCTGCAGGACCCAGTTAAAATAGAAGCCCGGTCCTTCCCTCTTAGATTAACCTTCCCATTTATCTTGTAATTATAGACAATATAAATTATATATAAATACGTATAAATTTATGTTGTATATATACAAACATAATTGTTTATGTTGTCTCCCTAATTAGACTAGATTGAGAACAGGGACTGCTTTTTTGCCTTTCTTTGCATCCCCAGCATTTAACACGGTGCCTGGCACATAGAAGGTGCTTAATACTTGTTGATTTGCCTTGATTTAATACCCTTCCTAAAACTTGGCATTACTCTACCTTTCCAGAATTACGTTGTATTGTTCCTCAGCATACACTCTGAGATCGAATCAGACAGAACTTTGATCTTTGACCAACAGGCATATTAGTGCTTTTAAGCACCACGTGCCAGCTTGCCTACTAAGAGGCAGCTTAACTTAGAAAGATGGCCAGGAAGACCTGGGTTCAAGTCCTACTTTTGACACATGGCAGGTGTGTGGTCCTGGACCAGTTGCTTAACTACTCAGTGCTCAGTCAACTCTAGCACTCTAAATTTCGGAGAAGGTGTGGAGCTTCATTTGATTGAGGGAGTTTCCTTACCCAGGAGCCCCATACTAATGAAATCCCAAGTTTAGGCAGAATCCCTTCCTGCTCAGTGTAGGAAAAAGAAAGGAAGGCTAGAAGGCTTTTTTTTTATTATTATTTTTTAAAAAAGAAGGGCACCAGGAATGATGGTAGAATGGATTCCTTTAGAAAGGCAGTACTTAAGCTGAGTATTGAGGGGGAAAAGGGATTCTAAGAGGCAAAGGAGCAAATGTTTTCCAGCCAAAGGTGACACCCAAGACAGGAAATGGAGCAAGAAGGCCATTGCCTGGGCCACAGAGTGTGAGAAGGCAGTACTGTATGCCAGAGCTGGTGGGGCAGGCTGAGGCTCACTTTTGGAGGGTTTTGAAATCTAAACAAAGGAATTTGTGGTTGGGCCTAAAAACAGTGGAGAGCCATCAGCCTTTGAGTAGGCAAGTGACATGGTCAGAAAATAGCTGTAACAGCTACACAGATATTAAATAACAGATGATTTGATCTACTGCAGAATTATTTTGAAATAATTTCTCTAGAAACACTTGCCATCTCTTTCCCTCATTTTCTCCACCTCTCTTTCTCTCTGCCTCTTTCTACCTACTACATAAACTCCCCTGAGTTTTTTCCCATTTTTCTTAGGCTGCTGCTTTGGTAGAGGAGGAAACTCGTCGGTACCGGCCAACCAAGAACTATCTGAGTTACCTGCCTGCTCCGGATTACTCAGCCTTTGAGGTAGGGGTGGACTTTTTGTCTTCCTGTCTAGAAAAGTGCTAGGAGCACAGGATAGAATCCCACTTTCCTCTTGCTGATCATTGTTGTAACTTGTGAATTTCAGCTGATAAGACTGAGTATGGCATTTATGGTTGATTTCACAAAGGTCAGAACTTCAGAAACAGTTTGTAAATATCATGAAGACAGGACAGAAAGAAGAGAATAGAGATCAGAGGGCATAGCACAAAAGAGTGTGTTTGGTACCAGAATAGAAACTTCAATCACTAGCCACCAATTCTTCCTGCTCTAATAAAAGTCCTCCTTTGTAAGAAATTAATGACTTAGGGAAAACAAACAAATGAACACATTGGTCATGCTTGAAAATGTATCTCATTCCACATCTCTAATCCATCAGCTTTCTGTCAAAAGGTGGGAAGCATGTTTCCTTATCAGTCCACTAGGTTCTGAAGTATTTCAAAGTTGTTTTATTTTATGGTATTGTGGTCACTGGGTAAATTGTCCCCTGTTTCTGCTTAGTTTAGTTGGCGTGAGTTTATGTAGGTCATCTCAAGTTTCTCCAAAACTCCCTTTTGTCATTTCTTACAGTATAGTAATTATATTCACATACTATAATTTGTTCAGCCATCCCCCAGTTAGTGGAAACACACTTTGTTTCCAACAAAAAGTGCTATTATCATATTTTGTATGTAAATGTTGCTTTGACCTCCACACACACACACACCCACACACACACACCCCACCCACCCCCACACACCCAACCAACCAATAGTGGTATTGCTGGGTCAAAGGGTATGCAGAGTTTAGTGACCTCTGAGGCACTTTTCAAGTTGGACCATTATACACCTTCACCAGCAATGCGTTAGTGTGATTGTTGTCTCACAGCTCTTCCAGTGACAGATTGACATTTTGTCGGCTTTGTCAACCTAATGGGTCTGAGGTGTTTTAATTTGCATTTCTCTTATTAATGTTTTGGAGCTTTTTTTTAACGTGGTTAAAGCTTGCATTTCTGCATTTGATATCTGGCATTTAATGTATGCAATCATAATTGGCCATTTTATCTTCTTTAATCATCTCTGTCCTTGTTTAAATTAAAGATTTTTCCCCCATCCAAAATTGTGAAAGATTTTTTTCTTTACTTCTCTCGTGCCATTTTAAAGATGTCTTTAACAAACATTTATTAAGTATTACTATATACAAGACATTATGCTAGGAACTGGAGATACAATGACTTAAATGATTAGGATAGAGAAAAATAAATTTTTTTTTTTTTTTTTGGCTAGGCAATGGGATTAAGTGACTTGTCCAGGGTCACACAGCTTGTGTGTGTTATGTGTCTAAGGCCAGATTTGAACTCAGGTCCTCCTGACTCCAGGGCTGGTGCTCTATCCACTGCACCACCTAGCTTCCCCAAGAAAAATGTATTGAATTTGGAAGTTATGAGATCATTGCTAACTGGAGAGATTAGGTTTAGTACAGTGAAAAGGCTTCTATATAACTGAATCTTACTCTAAAGTGCTAACTTTTTATTTTAATGGAAATCTTTAAATAATATATGCGTTCCTACCTTTATAAAAGTTTGGTGACCATACTTTAACTTTTTCTTGATATCTTATGACTTATGACTATGAAAATCATTCTACTGTGGCACCGAGAGGCTATCTGCTTGTGTTTTGTATCTGCTTTTCCTGATCCTCTGTTTCCTCCCTTGTTGTCACTTCTTGCTGCTGTTAGTGTTCCTGATTCCAACAACCCTGCCTTCAGAGCTTTTTCCTTCTTATCTGCTGTGGGCTGGGAACTCAGATAATTAAGTTTACTAAAATTGCTTCTAAAGTAAGAATTAAAAAGCACTTAATGAGGGCCCAATGAACTTTCCTTTAGGCAAAGTTCATGGATTTATGATAATTTTTTTTTGTTGTTTACTCTTATAAGGTGAAATGTCATTATGAGTGAATGTTGTATTGAAATTTTTCTTTTCTCACCTACAGTGTTGGAAAGATATGCAGTTAAAGGACATCAAAAATAGAGGAAAAAAATCTCATTCACAAAAAAATTTATAATAGCACTTTTCATGCTAGCAAAGAGCTGGAAACAAGTCCATCAACTGAGGAGTGGCTAAACATGTTATGGAATGTGAATGTAAAACAGTGTTATTGTGCTGTACGAAATGATGAATGTGAAGAATTCAGAGAAACTTGGAAAGATTTACTTGATTGATGTAGAAGGAAATAAGCAGTGCCAGGAAAATAATTAACACAGTAATGGAAAATAAAACAGCATTGAACGATTTCAGAACTCTAGTCAATGCAGTGACCAGTCGTAACATAAGACTCTAATGATGCCTTTCTGCAGAATATTGTTATACTAGAGCAGGGCTTCTTAAACTTTTTCCACTCAAGACCCCTTCAGCACTTCTTAAACTTCATCTGGGTTGAGACCCACAGTTTAAGAAGCGCTGTACTATAGGAGGAAATAAGCATAATGTATTGTAATGTATTGACCAATGTATTGATTAGTCTTACTTTGCTGTGCTTGTTTCAAGAAAGAGTTCTCTGGTATTAGAAAAGAGTCAGTGAGAAGTCAGTCAGCAAATATTTATTAGGTGCTTTCTATGTGCCAGGCATTATACTAAGTGTGGTGGAGACAGAGAAAAGTAAAGACAGTTGCTGCTTCCAAGGACCACACATTCAAATAGAGGAGACAACATGAAAATCGCTATTTACATTTAAGATATGTCCGTAGATTGAAGGTAATCTTGAGAAGGAAGGTACTTCCCATCACCACTTACAGCACCTCATGCCCATCAAGGCAATATGGCACTCTTGTTTTGAGTTAATCATAGTGGGTCAATAACCAGACCCTAATTTTGCAGGTTTTATCCATGTGAGGTTCAGGTGATTGATTTATTTGATGAGAGCTCAGGGAAGATGGTGTGTCAGCTTTATGACCCAGACTCCTCTGGCATCATCTCGCTAAATAAGTTTGTGTGTGTGTGTGTGTACGTATGTATATACATGCATACATTAAGGAGGATGAGGAGAGATTTCTTGCAAAAGGTGGAATTTTAGCTGAGAGTTGAAGGAAGCCAGGAGGCAGAGATAAAGAGGAAGAACATTTAGGCATAGGCAGCCAGTGAGAATGCCCAGAGTCAGGAGATGAGTATCTTATGTGAAGATCAGCAAGGAGGCTAGTGTCATTGAATTGTAGATTGAATGGAGGAGAGTAAAGTATAAGAAAGGTTTCAAATAGGACTTGATATTTGATCCTGGAGGAAATAGGGAACTACTGAATTTTATTCAGTAGGAGAATGACATGGTCAGACCTGTACTTTAGGAAGATCACTTTGGTAAGAATGGAAATTAACTGGGGTGGGGAGAGATTTGAGTCAGGAAAAAACAACCAGAAGGCTGTTGCAGTAGTGTAGGCAAGAGGTGATAAGGGCCTGCACCATGGTGATAGTGTCAAAGGAGAGAAGGGAGTATATGGGAGAGATATTGTGAAGGTAGAATGGACATGACAGGGTAAGAGTGAGGAGTTGAGGGTACTGCCTGCCTGTGAACTTGGGTGATGGTGGTATAGGGAGATTAGGAAGAGGGGAGGGTTTTGGTTGAAAGGTAATGAGTTCGGTTTTGGACATGTATTTAAGATGTCTTTAGGACAGTGGTAAAATAAAAGGATCATCAGTAAAACTTTTCAGAAGATATAGTGTATATTTACATCTGGAGACTAATCATTGACCTTAGACTTTTCAAGAGTACCGGGTAACTTTTAATTAGTTTGAAAACATAAGTCCTTTTTATAACAGATTTGACAATTTTGAATTAAAAAAATTAAACCTGAATTTAAAAAAAAATGAACATCATCAGAGTATGCTTTTATTAGGCTAAATAGGACTGATTATTAGAACAATTATGCCCGAGCAATTCCTCTAGGTTTACCTTAGAGGGAAGCTGCCTGTTCTTTTTACCCCAAAAGGCAGAACTTGGGAGCATTCTGTAAATATTACAATGTCAGTAATAGCAAAGAAAGCACAGCAGGCTGGAGGTGGCATACAACACTAAAATTTAATATCCAGATTCATCTCTTATTACTCCTGTCACATATGGCAAGATATATCTTTTCCTCTCATGGTGAGCAGTGGTGTTGTACAAAGGTCTTACTATCTCTCCATCCTCAGCAAATTTCTTATCACCTGAATTTAGAATTGGAGTTATCTCTCTCTTCCCTATCCTGTTCCTGGAGGTAACAGATTAGGATGAGAGAAGAGAATGGATGAGGTATATTTATTATAAATGATTCAATTTTTTTTGTTGTGGATATATGGTCGGTTTAGTTGTTGAATCCAATCTGCAGTTGTCCTCTAAAAATAATTCTCTTCTCAATTTATAGACTGACATTATGAGAAATGAATTTGAAAGATTGGCTGCCCGACAACCAATTGAATTGCTTAGCATGAAACGGTAAGTTCTTTTTCTGAGTTTAGTTTGTGTTACAATAGTATGCATTTTCAAGTTTCTGTGGAGAAATATGTAGAGATTCCCAGAAACTTGGGTTTTAATTACATTGTTTTACATGTATGTTTTTATAGTGTGATCATTGTTTTAACTTGTACATACCCTCCTTCATGTTCCACACTATATACAATAGCATGATTCATGGAGTGGTAATAGTCACTAGGACCCAGGGTAAAATTGCTGAGTAGGCAGAGTTTGTCTTTGATGCACTCCCACCTCTCTTACTTCCCTTATGACACTCACTTTTGTGTCCCACCCAGGGCTATCTTCCCTCAGGAGTGCTATATACTGCAAAATTTCGTCTTTACTCCATCTAAGTTCTTATTCTCATATATTAGGGGTTAGTCAGTAGGGTTATCTAATTCAAAATATTTTGTGAGAAGGTACTGTTTAAATTCTGTGTAATTGAGGTGGTGAGGATGTTTGAGGAGGTGAAGAGGCTTGATTAACTAAGATGAAATTAAGCACATGTCCAAAATATTTAACTCTCATCTCTAATCGGTGGGCTGGTTGTCAGAATGGTAGAATTGTAAGGGGTATATCTGTTCACTACCCCTTTCTTTCTGGACTCCTGTTTTCTGGAAAAGAGACAAATCCTGTCTGGTCTGGGGAGGAAGAAAGGCTGAAATTATGAGGTTGCTATTTTTAGTACCCTCAGATCTCTTAACGATGCCTTTTGTCTAAGTGGTAAGCAAGGTTGCAGTAGTTATTATATTATATTATATGTTTAGATGTCTTTTTTTTTTAAATGAAATGTGGTGATCAAATCTTGGTTCTAAGTCCCTCTTCTACAATTCCACATGAATTTAATAGTTTTTGGTAAAATTCTTTGGTTAAACTCAAGGATTCAGCTCTATCTGGTAAAAGTAATTAAATGAAATTGAGTGCATAATTATAATATGCTATGCCTTTAAAAAGCATCCACATTGATTTTTTTGACGTAATGCTAAAAAGTTATAGGAAGAGGAAGGAATAGAAAATACAACATTCTAAAGCAGAAAATAGTGTCTAGAATTAGAAAATGTTTTAGTAATTGTCATCTTGTTCTCTGTCTTGTTTTAATCTTTCTCTAGTCTTAAAATAATAGCTCATGTTTTAATAGTGCTTTTTAAGATTTACAAAGCACTTTATGTACATTCTTATTTGATCCTCATGACAATCATGTGAGACAGATGCTATTACTATCATCCCTGCTTCACAGATGAGAAAATTGAGGCTCAGAAAGCTTAAGTGACCTGCCCAGGATCATAAAACTAATTATCAGAAGCAGGATTTGAACACGGGTCTTCCTCATTACAACTCTAACACTCTCTTTTATGTCACTATTATGAGATGGTTAAGTATTACTTTCCTCCCCTATAATTTCAGATATGAGCTTCCAGCTCCCTCCTCTGGGCAGAAAAATGATATCACTGCATGGCAGGAATGTGTAAACAATTCAATGGCCCAACTGGAGCATCAGGCAGTGCGCATTGAAAACCTGGAGTTGATGTCACAACATGGTTGCAATGCCTGGAAAGTATATAATGAGTAAGTAAGAACATCTTCAGCCTGCCTTGGTGTTTATAAAATATAGAAAAGAATTCAGAATGAAATTAAATACTAGCAGACCAGGTGAGCACTGTGTTTAAAAAGAACTATTATATGTAGATGGATTAAGATGTCTTCTCTAACCACTGGTGTCTCCTTCCATCAGAGACCTGCTTTACAGTGAGGCAGCCCCTATGGAAAGCTACTTGACAGTTCTTTTAGCCCATTCTGTTCTTCCTTATAAACCTTCCCATTACACTGCCATGAGAGGAGCCTATTTGTTAGATCTTCCACTCAGTTGTTCCTTTACCCTTTTCCTTGCCTCCTTCAGTAGTCAGTGGGTTCAGGAATTCTAAGGAGGTTTGGGCTAATACAGTTTTTCCACCTATAGCCCACTTATATTTGGGATTAAGTCCTCTGTTAAAATCCTCTTCTTGATGCCTCATCGTGGCATATAGATATCCCTACTTTCTTGAAACACCATGGCAGCAGAGAGAGCATGTGATTTGGTTCATTTTATCAAGGGGGAAGGGCTTGTTAATGGACTTTTTTGGAGACTAACATAGTTAATTACTGAAAAGCTAGGTAAATGGGTAAGTTTCATAATCAAATCACTTAAATTGTTAAGCTTCCCACCATGTATGAGACTTTGTGTTGGGTTTTATTTTTACAGCTGTATGGTCTACAGACTAGTGAGGAGGAGAGATTGGAAACCGAGATACCAATTAGATGCTAACAACAGGTCAGGCAAAGGGTAATGAGGCTTGGAATTAGGCTAGTGTTCCTTTGTGTCCAAAGGTGGGGAAGGAATGGATTTTAGAGATATGGGATTAAAATTGGCAAGACTTGACCACTGGATATGAAGGATGATTGAAGGGGAAGAAGTATAAGGATAAAGTGGGATTAGGAAATTGAATTTTCAGAGTTGAAGGATGTGTTGGTTTAGGGGAAGAAAGTAACAGATTCTATTGAGGATATGTTGAATTTGAGTTATGGGAAGATGTCCAGGCAAGTTGGTAATGTGAGACCAGAATTCAGGATAGAAATCAAGACTGAAAATATTGGCTTGGATGTCGTCTGTATGCAAAGAATAATTGAACCCAGGGGAATAGGTGAGATCACGAAGGGACAGTATATAGAGAGAAGGCAGTCCAGGAAGGAGCCTTAAGGAATACCCATGATTAGGGGTTAGCAAGTAAAAGATGATTCATAAAAGGAGACTGAGAAGGAGTAGTCAGGTAAGAGGATAGCCAAGAGAAGCTGGTGTCAGGGAAGCCAAGGGAAGAATCAAAGAATTTAGAATTAAAAGGAACCCAATAGATCAGGCCCAAACTCCTCGTTTAGCAAATGAGGAAACAGACCCAGAGAAGGTAAATTAACTCATACTTAGGTTTCTGCTGTTGAAAGTCATGAGTGTATCTGCCTTCAGATCCAAAAAAGCATTTATTAGGTGTTGGCAAAGCTTCAGAAAAGCAGCTAGCATGCTATTCAAGTAACACCAAAAGGTTATGGCCATGCAACAAGGACAGTGCTTGTGGGATGTTGAAAGGTGGTTACTCACAAATATGGGCTTATGATTTCTTAGGTGGCCCCCCTCTGCTAAGATTCTTGTGTAGCTGTTCCAAATTTGAGTCTTCTTGTTAAACAAAAGTTTTAAAAGAAGATAAATATGAAACAAGCAATATTTAAAAATTCATTTTTATTTGGTTTCTCTTACATTGGTAAAAATCTTTTTTTTCCACTAAAGATTATTTTTTAGATAGAGCAATGAGATTGAATATGCTTAATTATTTGTGAAAAATCTTAGTTTAACACTTCCAAGTCAAAGGTTTGGTTCTAAGTTCAGTTTATTTTCATTCTGGATTTTAAAGATTGTCATAGATGATAAAGATACCTCACAAAGGTGGGCAGATCTAAGTGGAAGATGTGCATCATTGGCTATGCTTATGAAATTATACCTTGCAAATTGTGATGGCTTCCATACCATCATTAGCTAACATCTCAAGGCACAATGTATACTTTGAACAAGTTCACTTGAAGATCTTGGAGATCATTTATCCAACATTCATTTTATAAGAGAAGAATAGTAAAGCCCAGAAAAATTAAGTGCCTTAGCTGTCAATAGATGTTTCATAGCAGATTTGGGACTAGAATCCTGGTCTCCCAACTGTTGCTTCAGTGTTATTTTCAATATAACATAAATTGCCTTTCTTGTTCACTTTGAAAAGGAAGAGGTGGGGTAAATGTGGGAACAAATTATGAGGCAGTGGTTTGATGTGGAGTTGAGGTTAAATGAGGGCATACTCATCAGATGATCTTTTTCTTTTCAATGAAGTTATGACAAGATGGGAGAGGTCAGGATAGCTTAAATTTAGACAAGATTTTTCAGATCTTAAGGGACTGGTGAAAATTGACAAAGATAGTGAAAGTTAACTTCTATGCTAAATTTATACATGTAAGGCAGTCAATAAATTAAACAATTTTAAACATCAAAATTGTTTATTCTAGAAATGGAAACACATACTGTTTTTTTCAGAGTAATTCTATATCTCAGTAGATTTGTCCCAGAAATTAATTTTTTTTGTTCAGGTCTAGGCAGATTCTGGAAGAGACATGGTGCTTACTGACTAGCTGAGGAGACCAGGTTTGACGGAATGGTTTAGAACCAAGCGCCATGTTTGAAGATAATAATCCTACCGTACTCTTTACTAGTCAGACCGTATCTGACATACTGTATTCAGGTCTGTATGCTAAATTTTAGGAGGAACATTGGCAAATTGGAAAATATGGTACAAAAGAGGAAGAAAGGATTGTGGAGGGACAGGAAACTTCAGTATATGGATTGACTGAAGAAACTGGATGTTTGGGGTAGAGAAAGGAAGACTTAGAAGGAACAGAAAAACTGTCCTCAAATATTTAAAGGGTTATTACTTAGAAGACTTGTTCTGCCTAGCCACCAAAGGGCAAAAGTGAGGGTATTGCATGCAAATTCCAGGGAGGTACATTTTGACTCAATATAAAGATTGTGATCCAGTGAAAAGATTGCTGTACTTAAAAGTAAGATGTACTGTTTGTGTGTCCCAGTTCTGACACTAATTAGTTGTGTGATCTTGGGTAAGTCACTTGGTAAATATGGGCCATATAAAATGAGAGGTTGGACTAGAACTTCTAAAGTCCCTGACATGCCAGGCCTGACAATTTATGAATTATAAAGAAAATCTCAATAATTGTAGCCGTCCAGACAAGTTGCCATGGAGTAGCATTTAGCTGCATATCTTTGGAGTTTTTCCAGCAGAGTCTGGGTAGCCATTTGTCAGAGGTTTTTAAATGGTGATCATGAACTGAGGGCAGGGCAGACTATAAGATGACTGACCATGAAATGACTTCCATCTCTGCAATTTTATGACTTTCTGCTTGATTCAACCAGAAAAAAGTTTTTGACAAAAAACAGTATTATTTTGAATGTTATCATTCTAGAATATGCGTTTCTTTTTTGCCATATTACTAACTTGGCCTGACAGGAATGCTAACGGGTGACATCAGGCACATCAGACATAAGAACTGGAATCCAGTATGATGGTTGTCAGGGTGTTAGGTTGTTTCACGATCTTAAATTTCAGCTCTGCTATTATTGTGCAGGCATTCTCTCATTGCAAAATAACTTCTGTTAGGGCATGATCCTTTTTAACCAGATTGTTGACCTCACATTGCTTTGAGAAAAGTGAGAATAAAAAGTATTTGCAACTGTACCTTTCAAAGAAATGTGCCACTGTAGGACCATTCCAGGACCCAAACACAGTCACCTGTCTTTTGAACACGTGATTGGGTATTAATCTATTTGCTGGTGGAAAATCTCAGCTTCATTTGCCTTTTGTTCTTGGCAGCCATCATGATGTACCCATATTTCTGTGGAGTTCGTATATTTTAGGTACTTTTTAAAAATAATAGTTATACCTACATTTGTACAGATTCTGTTGTGTTTTCATTTGGTTTAATTTGCTCTAACAATAAAAATTTAATGACGCCATGCTGTTCAATTTCTTTGCAGTGTTATTGGCTACTGTTTTGAAAACTGTTAGTGACCATATTGCCAACTTTATGTGGAAATAGTGTACCATATTCCAACATATATAGTGACAGCATATAGTAATAAATTCATAATGGTTGCAAATGTCTGAAAAACAAATTCACCGTGGTAATTATTAACTCTTGCTTATAGATATGTATATAACAATGTAAAAGCATGAACACTTGGCCTGCTTTACATAACTATTGTGTTTCACTTATATACTGGTGGCCTATTACCACCAGGCTTTACTATGACCTAATCTTTTTATTTCCATTTTGTTTTTCTTCACTTTGAGAAATCTAGTTCATATGATTGAACAAGCCCAGAAGGAGCTGCAAAAGTTAAGGTAACTTCTTCCTTGCATTGGCTTCATTTTTATCTAAGAATACCTTCAGTATTCCAGAGAAGTATGCTGTAAGATGATAGCTGTGCAAAACATTCCACCTTGCTCTACTAGGTCTTACCATATAACCAGCCTTTCTACTTTACTGAGTTTTAGAGGCACCCTTTTAGTTTAGGTTCAGTGTTGGGATGAAATGAGATACTTAAGGGTCATTCAACATTTAACGAAAGGCGGTTTTCTTAGACATAACACAGAAAGAATGTTTTTATCTAGACTATAGGTGGCACAGTGGATAGAGTGCTGGGCCTGGAGTTAGGAAGACTCATCTTCTTGAGTTCATAATTGGCCTCAGATACTTACTAGCTGTGTGATCCTGGGCAAGCCACTTAACCCTTTTTGTTTCAGTTTCCTCATCCGTCAAATGAGCTAGAGAAGGAAATGGCTAAACCACTCCAGTGTCTTTGCCAAGAAAACCCCAAATGAGGTTGCAAAGAGTCAGACAGGACTGAACAACAACAAAAAACTATTTTAATAGTCTCCAGTCTTAACTTCTGTTTCTTTCTGTCCCATATGCTGTGGCTAGAGTAATCCTCCTGGTCACAACTGGTCATGTCACTATTCTGCTCAAACACCCCCCACACACACACACATACATACATTCACACATATGTGTGTGTGTGTGTGTGTGTGTGTGTGTGTGTATCTGCTACCTAGAATCATTTCCACAGACACCCACATCAATACTCTCCCCATTTTATCATTCAGTAATAGGCTTTTGTAATTGACATTCCATAGTGAACTATATCTTTATCATCACAAAATCAACAAAAAGATGTATACAGGAGCCCACAGTTCTTATTTATTATTTTAAAAGAATTTTATTTAGTAGAGCAAAATACTGCCCTAAAGACTTTTTTTTTCCAAAAATGAATCTTGCGTTTATATTTTTAAAAATCATTTGTTATTCCTTAAAAGATATAACGGTACCTTGTTCAGTGATCCTCTGATTAGAAACATGAGGCAAGGTATAAAACGGAAATGTATGCTTGCCAACATTGCCACTGTAAATGGAGAGAGCCAAAGCAGAATTCAGATTGAAGAGAGATTCTCTGTAGATGGTGAGGTTCTTCAGATGTTCTGTTTGTGGATGACATCGTGCTGGTTACATTGAGCCTTGGAACACTAAAGGGGTTGGCTTGAACATCTACACAGTAAAAATCAAGTTGATGAAGCATATCTGTTGCCTAAATTGTGACATGAGGTGGATGTACAACCTATAGAGCTTATCCATCATTACATATATGTGGGACAGATAGACAGTGAGTGGAGCCCAGAATTAAGGAGCTGAATTGATTTCAGGAATTACAAGGCTTATTTTTTTTTTTAAATATATCAATATTCTACTAATGTTGTTATATGGCTCTGAAACAAAGCACAACAGCCTGTAAGGATTTTAAATGAATATTATAGGTGTATGGGTGATATGAGCAAGGGGGAACTACAAAATGAGGAACTTTGAAGAACGGCAGGCAGTAGAAAGAAGATGGGTTGGTCAGATGGCAAAGGTGAGGGATGGATGTGGATAGCTTGAGTGTTTTCCTGGCACTTTGTAGTACATTGGGTGACCTCATGGTATACTTATAGGAGGACTTGAATAAGAGATGGATGGGATGAGTAGGCATAGATGAACTGAAGGGAACATCTAGATCGTTGCTATCACAAATCCATTTTACTATTGAAAGAGTTGTGTGAAAAAAAGGCTGTCAAGATACGTTGGCATAGGGCCTTGAATATCCTATAATAGAATTAGTATCTAAAAGCAAAACCAAGTGTTTGCATTTCTCTTTAACAGAAAACATATTCAAGACTTAAACTGGCAGAGGAAGAACATGCAACTCACGGCTGGGTCTAAATTACGAGAAATGGAGTCAACGTAAGTAGCTGAAATTTCATCTTTGTCTCAAAACGCCCTCACAAAGTTTTGCTAAATCTTTGAATCAGTTTTCAAATGAGATGGCCCAGCTGATCTCAGGAGTTCTTTGCCAGTCTTAAGGCCCTGGGCCTCTCCTGTCCCAGCCCCTCGTTGGGGAAGCTGGGAGGCAGTGACAGAGAAGGGAGCGTAGCCAGTAGACAGAGGGGAAGGAAGATCCCTGCCAATCTCATGGTGCTATCGGCATAATGTTTGTCCACTATCGGCATGCATCTGTTTTTCTTTTTCTTTTTAATTAATTAATTAATTTTTAGTTTTCAGCATTTACTTCCACAAGATTTTGAGTTCCAAATTTTCTCCTTATCTCTCCCTTCTCCCGCCCCAAGATGGCGTGCATTCTAAATACCCCTTCCACCAGTCTGCCTTCTATCACCCCCACACACACCCCCCTTCTCTTATTCCCTTCCCCTTCTATTTTCCTGTAGGGCAGGATAGAGTTCTATACTCCTTTGCCTGTATATCTTATTTCCCAGTTGCATATAAAGACAATTTTTAGCATTTGTTTTTAAAACTTTTGAGTTCTAAATTCTCTGTGTATCTGTTTTCAGTGGCTCTGTGGTATTGATGTAAACTCAGAGGTTATAGAATAATTGAACTAGGAAGTATTTTGAGTGTTCATCTGCTTTGGGATAATACTGTGCCTATATATCATCCCCTGAAAAAGCTTTTCTGCCTTTTCAGAATATTCCAAGAAAGAACCTTATTGCCTCTTATTCTTTAACTGCTGGATGGCATAGAGGATAGAACACTGAACTTGGGAGTCAGGAGGACCTGAGTTTGCATCCTGCCTCAGTTACTTAATAGCTCTGTGATCCTTGTCAAGTCACTTAACTTTGCCTCAGTATTCTCATTTGTAAAATAAGGAGTTGGATTCAGTGCTCTCTAAGGTCCCTTCCAGCTCTAAACCTATTATCCTGTCATTGTGAATATACCACAAAATCTTCAAAGGACATTGAACCTGATGCTGCTGTTTTTTTCTCTTGCCTGTATTTTCTAGTTGGGTCTCTCTCGTCAGTAAAAATTATGAGATTGAACGGACTATTGTACAGCTAGAAAACGAAATCTTCCAAATCAAGCAACAGCATGGGGAGGCAAACAAAGAAAACATCCAGCAGGATTTCTGAAAAAATGGACTTTTGGGAAGGGAGAGAAGGGCATCTTAGGAATCTCAAGGCATCAGGAAGTTGAATGATCCTCAGATCATGGTAAGAACCTACTGAGGGAGTGATAATGACCTGAATAGCCTGGCTGAATGCTTAGGAGTAAGATGGAAACTTAGGAACTGTGCAGAGTGCATGAATTGATGGTTCTTTGTACTATATTTAATTCTATTTGTATATTTCCTTGACAAATAAATTTTTACCTTGAAAAAATTTTTATAACTTGAAGTTGAGTGGGAATTTTAATAATACCTTTGGTTTTTATATCACATTTTTTCTAAATATATGTACCCCTTCTCCCCTATCCTACAATAAAGATGATAAGGAATGAAAACATTTCAAATCAACAGTTTCATTAAAGATAATGACAACAATGAGATAACATCAAACTTTTGTGTGATACAGCCAAAGTAGTTCCTAGGGGAAAATTTATATCTCTATAAACGCTTACATCAATAAAGTAGAGAAAGAGCAGATTAATAAATTGGGCATGCAATTTAAAAAATGAAAAAAAAGAACAAATTAAAAATCCCCAATTAAACACCAAATTGGAAATCCTAAAAATCAAAGGAGACATTAATAAAAATTGAAAGTAATAAAACTAGGAACTGGTTTTATGAAAAAAACAAATCATTGATTAATTTGAATAAAAAAAAAACCAAATTGCCAGTATCAAAAATGAGAAGAGTGAATGCATTACCAATAAAAATGAAATTAAAGCAATTATTAGGAGCTATTTTGCTCAATTATATGCCAATAAAGCTGACAATCTCAGTGAAATGGATGAATATTTACAAATATGTAAATTGCCCAGATTAACAGAAGAGGAAATAGAATACTTAAATCACCGTCTCTTAGTAAAAGAAATTGAATAAGCCAATAAAAGAGCTTCCTAAGAAAAAATACCCAGGACCAGATAGATTCACAAGTGAATTCTAACAAATATTTAAAGACTAATTAATTCCAATACTATATAAACTATTTGGAAAAATGGGTAAAGCAAGAGCCCTACCAAATTCCTTTTACAAAGGTTTTGATACCTAAACCAGGAAGAGCAAAAACATACAGACTAATTTCCCTAATGAATTATTGATTCAAAAAACTGTAAATAACATTATCAAGGAGATTACAGCAATATATCACAAAGATCATATGCTATGACCAGGTAGGATTTCTACCAGGAATGTAGGACTGGTTCAGTATTATGAAAATTATCAACATAATTGACCATACCAATAACAAAAATCATATGATGAACTCAATAGATGCAGAAAAAGCTTTTGACAAAATACAATATTCATTCTTATTAAAGACACTAGACAGAATAGGAATAAATGGGGCTTTCCTTGATAAGAATTTCTATCTAAAACCAATCGAAAGCATTATCTATAGTGAGGATAAGCTATAGGCCTGCCCAATAGCTTGAAGCAAGGATTTCCATCATCAGCACTATAATTCAATATTGTACAAGAAATGCTAGCTATAGCAGTAAGACAAGAAAAAGAAATCAAAGGAGTTGGAATAGGCAATAAGGAAACGAAACTATCACTCTTTGCAGATGATGTGATGGTATACTTAGATAATCCTAGAGAATCAACCAAACTAGTTGAAACAGTTAACTTTAGAAAAGTTGCAGGATATAAAATAAACCCACATAAATCATCAGCATTTCTATATATTACCAACAAATTCAAGCAGGAAGAGTTAGAGAAATTACATTTAAAATAATTGCAGACAGTATAAAATACTTCGGAGTCAACCTGCCAAGACACACACAGGAACCATATGAACACAATTACAAAACTTTTCATAGAAAAGACATTAACAATTGGAGAAATAGTAATTGCTGATGAGTAGGCTGAGCCAATATAATAAAATGACAATTCTACCTAAATTATTCAGTGCCATGCCAAACTACCAAAAACTTATAGAGCTAGAAAAAATAATAGAATTCATCTGGAGGAACAAAAGGTCCAGAATATTTGGGAATCATTAAAAAAATGTGAAGGAAGATGGTCTCCAACCAGATTTCAAATGGTATTAATAAAGTAGTAATCATCAAAACAATCTGGTACTAGCTAAGAAATAGATTGATAAGTCAATGGAATAGATTAGGTATGTAATACACAGTGGAAAATGACCATAATGATCTAATGTTTCATAAACCCAAAATAGAAGCTTTTGGGAAAAGAACTCACTATTTGACAAAAATTGCTGGGAGGACTGGAAAGCAGTTTGGCTGAAACCAACATCTTACATCATACACCAAAATAAAATAAAAATGGGTACATGTTTTAGACATAAAGGGTGATTAGGGGAAATTTAAAGGAACATGGAAAATTTGACCTGTCGTCTATGGAGAAGGGAAGAATTTATGACCAAACGAGAAAATAGGAACAAGGGAAGTAAAATGGATAATTTTGATTACATTAAATTAAAAAAGTTTTGTGCAAACAAAACCAATGTAGCCAAGAAAGCAGAAAACTGAGAAGGTGAGGGAGTGGAAGGTTTATAAGTTTCTCAGATAAAGGTAAAGGCCTCATCTCTCAAATATATAGTGGGTCAAATTTATAAAAACAAGTTATTCCCCAATTTTGATAAATGGTCAAAGGGTATGAACAGGCAGTTTTCAGAAATAGAAATCCAAGCTGTCTGTAGTCATGTGAAAAAATGCTCTAGATCACTATTGATTAGAGAAAAGCAAATTAAAACAACTCTTGAGTTACCATCTCACACCTATCAGATTGGCTAACAAGATAGAAAACAAAAATGACAAATGTTGGAGGGGAATTGGAAAAATCGAGACACTAATGCACCGTTGGTGGAATTGTAAACTGGTTCAAACATTCTGAAGAACATTTTAGAACTGTACCCAAAGGGCTATACATACCCTGTGACCCAGCAATATCCTTACTCCCAAAGATCAAAGAAAAAGGAAAAGGACCTCTGTGTACAAGAATATTTATAGTAGTTCTTCTTGTGGTGGCAAAGAATTGAAAATTGAGGGGATACCCATCAACTAGGGGATTGCGGAAAATGATTGTGATGGAATACCATTGTGTTATAAGAAATGATGAGCAACATGGTTTCAGAAAAACCTGTGAAGACTTACATGAACCATTGCAGGGTGAAGTGAGCAGAACCAGGAGATCACTGTAAATGGTTAAGAGTAGTGTCATAATCATGATCAACTATGAATGACTTAGCTATTCTCATCAATACAATGATCCAAAATATTTCTGAAGAATTTATGATGGAAAATGCTATTCACCCCCAGAGAGGAACTGCTGGAGTCTGAGTACAGATTGAAGCATAATCTTTTCACTTTATTTTTCTTACTTTTTTTTTCAACATGGTTCATATATTTTGCTTGATTTCACATGTATGATTGATACCACATTTCTTGTTTTTTCACTGGGTAGGAGAGGGGAGGGATGGAGAGAATAAAGAACTCAAAAATTTTTTAAAAAATGAATGTTGAAAATAAACCTAATAGATTTATTTTTTAATTGGGGAAAAAAAAAACAGTTCAGTAAAGCCAACAAGACACTGAAAGTTTCTGACAGTTTACATAAGTAACATTCCATATGCATTGTCTTTCTTCCCCCCAAGACATGAACTTGAACCCCAAATCTGATTCTCAACTGAGCTCTTTATTTCTTCACCAAAATATTTCTTAAACCCCTTTACCAATTAATTAAACTGGTTTCTTTTTTGTATTTTTGCCTATAAGTAGTGGTAGTGCAGACAAAGTGTCTACTAAACCCTGCATCTTCCCAGAAAGTGAATTAGTTACTTCTGCTTCTTTGTTATGAGCAGGGTGTTATGGCCTAAGACCGGATTCAGTCCAAAGTCTGGAGTCCTGCTTGTACCTCCCTCCCTGTGTGACCCTGGGCACTTAATTTCTATAGAGCTTAGTTTATTCATCTGTAAAACACAGGGGCTGTCCTACTAGCTCTAAATATCAGTCTATGAAATGATGATGCAAGTATACAACCCTGTGGGAAAAATGAGGCAAAAAACAATTTTAAATGTTTTTTTTAATCTGGTGTGCTAGATATAAAGTAACTTATTTTGCTGATGCAACTAAGCTTCTAAACTCTGGGGAAGTGGAAAGCAAGAAAATAACACAAATGTTCTAATATGTAGGAAGTGGAAAATGTTTCTTCTGTTGTTACCTAGTAGAAGTAGTCTGACGTTTTGTCTCAGTTTATTTAGCAAATATGCTTTAATTAACTTCCTTCCAAAGAGAAACAATTTGAGTAATAACTTCATCAAGCATTTATTTCTAAATACTGTGTTAAACATAGGGAGCTACAAAGATGGTCAGTTCTCAAATACAGATTTGTTGGGAAGAAATGTTATAATGACAGCCAACATCTCTCAGCAACCCTGAGAGATAGGAACTTTTTTTTTTTATTCTGGACTTGCGATTTCATCAGTGTAAGTCTCTACATTCTAAACTCCAAACCCTTTGCATCTGATCTAGGTCTGCAGCTAATCTGTACTTTATAGTCTGGTTGGAGAAGTGCCCAGACAGTCATTCACAACAGGCTACCCTACATTGGACTCTTATACAGAT